ACCAATGACCACCCTGACAGGGAACACAGCAGAGAGTCCTTGACAGAGCAGGAGAAAAGTGGGGTGTAGAACTCAAATTCACGTAAAAATACCAGACTTAATGTTCTGACTGAGACTGGAGGAACCCCAGACAACATGGCCCCTGGACTATTAACCCAGAACTGAAGCCATTCCTGAAGCCAATTCTTCAGGCAAAGATTAGACTGGACTGTAAGACATAAAATGATACTCCTGAAGAGTGTGCTTCTTAGTTCAAGAAGATACATGAGACTAATTAGGCAGCTCCTGTCTGGAGGCAAGATGAGAAGGCAGAAAGGGATAGGAGCTGGTTGAAGGGACACGGGAAATCTGGGATGGAAAGGATGAGTGTGTGATCACATTATAAGGATAGCAACTAGGGTCACATAACAATGTGTGTATAAATTTTTGTATGAAAAACTAACTTGAGCTGTAGATTTTCACCTAAAGCACACACACACACACACACACACACACACACACACACACACAAGATGCCCAAGTATTTTAACATGTATTCATGAAAAATACCGTGAAACCTGTGAGAGCCGGAACTCCACGGGACTGCCTTGTTTTTCTGGGTTTCACAAGTTTTCCACCTTTGACTGGGTGCAGTCTTCCCACTTTTTTTAATCACTCATTTTAGTGGAAAATGTTTAGTTTTCCTTCTCCGACAGGTTTCTGCCTTACAGTTTCCAGCTTTCACAGGTTTAAAAAATATTTTTTTAAGTATTTTTTAAAATATATTTGCTTAACCTTTATATAAATGGTATTATAATAGTACATATTAATTTTATTGTTTCTTCAACTTTCTCACCCCCTCAACAATATATTTTTACCTCCTGTATAATATTCCATTTTATAACCATAACTCAGTTTGCTTATCTGTTCCTCTATGATGAATATTTATATTGTTTCCAATTTTTCAATGCTAGAATTCTTTAGTGAATGTTCTTGTAACATATCTCCTTGCTCACATGTATGAGGGTTTCTCTAGTGTATAGTCTGGAGGTAAAATTGAGTAGCATGATATGAAAACTTTACCAGATAATGCCAAATTGCTCTTTGAATTAGTTGTACCAAGTAATGTTACCACTGGTATTGTATAAAGGTTCTTGTGTCAATACTATACTATATGCCAGTACCTGATATTGTGAGAGTTTTTAATTTTGGTCAGCCTGAAATGTGTGAAATTATATCTCATTGTGGTTTTAAATTGAATATTCCTAATTATTAGTGAAGCTGTGCTTCTTTCCTTATTTTTGTCAGTTATTTGGGTTTTCCTCTTCTGTGAACTGTTTGGGTATGCCTATGCTGATTTTTCTAGTGTTGTCTTTTCTTATTGATTGAAAAAAAAAATACTTGTTGCTGTCAAGTCAATTGTAAGTCATAGCAACCCTATAGGGTAGAGTAGAACTGCCCCATAGAGTTTCCAAGGAGCAGCTGATGGATTTGAACTGCCAACCCTTTGGTTAGCAGCCAAGTCTTAACCACTACGCCACCAGGGTTCCTCTTATTAATTAGGGGTTCCTATATAAACTGAATA